AAAAAAAAAAAAAAGGGAAGGGATGCAAGCTCTGCAGAAAAAATAGTCTTTTTCAAGAATCAATCATTGGTAATTTACATGGACATGGGAAAGTACTCATACTTTTACCCTTATTTTTCTCATTTCGCTGCAGAGTGATGAAAACCTCGCCCCAGACCGCAGTGGGACTCAGACCAGAAGAAGGCGTACCATGGGTGGGGCAGGGGTAAGCCCTGAAGTATTCGGAGAAAGACTTTTTTCCCTCCCTTGTTTATAATACCTTTGCTGAATATTCCTAAAGTTCAAAGTCCCAGGCTTAGTGAGTATTCGGGTTTCCCTCTGGGGACTAGCACTTGCAGATTTCAGGGCAGGAGCCAGCTGAGTTGATAACTTTCCAGACTTTCCCACTGGCTTTCTAGAGAAAGGAGGGAGCCCCCTGAAGCCCACCCTGCCTGCTCGGAATCCCAGGCCTTTATTTAAAGGTCCTTCCACTACCTCCCCTCCCCCAAGGGACCTGTGTCTCTCAGCATTTCATTCATTAAGGCAGACTCCCAGGTGGGCAAATGTCCTTGGTGAACCTATCAATGGCTTCCATGGCATTCAAGATAAAGACCTCACTCCCAACTCAGCCTACCCTGCCACGTGGGGTCTATCTGGTTTCTGCTCTCTAGCCTCATGTTGCCCCCCCCAATCTCTCTCTTTCTCTCTCTGAACTCCACCCACAGTTGCTTGCTTTCAGATCCTCCAAAGTGCCAGAGCCCTGACCACTTTTTCCCAGGGAAACCTTCTCCCCACCAGCTGCAGCAGCACCCTGACTCCCTTGGCATCTCTCACCTTGCATCCCGTATTGAGTCTTTGCAAGCAATTGTCACAATTGTAATTGATTACACTTGTATAAGGTCTGGCTCCTGAGCTGGAAGGTGAACTCCAAAAGACCAGGAGTCCACTTTATCTCGATCTGATCTTCCATTCTCTGGCATGGGCATGTCACCTAGTTGCTGCTCTATATATTATCGTTAAACGAAAGAAATTCTCTTTAATACGTGTATACCAGGAACTGTTCTAGGCAATTGAGATATAATAGTGGGGGTGGGATGGGGTTGGGGAACACAACAGAAAAAAAAAAATCTATGCCACTGTGGAGCTTACATTCTACTGGGGCAGGATCTGCTAAATAAGATAAATGAACCACTGGCAATGTTAGACAGTGGTAAATACTCAGGAGAAAACAGTAAAGCAGGAAAGGGGGACACGGGACATCCTGTTGTGGGCTGCTGCATGAAATTTTTAGATTGGGTGACCAGAGAAAACCTCACCCAGAAAGTGACTTTTGAGTAAAGACCTGAAGGAAGTGAGACAGTGTCTGGGGGAAGAGCATTCCAGGCAGAGGGCTCCACCCTCCCAAGTGCAAAGGCCCTGAGGCCCTGAAAGCTGTAAACGGTTCTAGGAACAGCAAGAAGCCAGCGTGAGGGAAGTAAGCCAGGGGAAAGGAATCAAAATGTGGTCTTTTAATCTGCCCTATGTTTCTGTAGAATCGTTTCTACCAGGCATTTCTTGGAAAGTGCTTTTCACCAGCATCTACACTAAAATCATGGCTTTCTAATAACTTTGAAGGCAGCGGCACCCTTCCTTCAAATGAAACACGAAACGGAAGTTCAAGGTGGGAAACAGGAGCAGGGAGGGGCTGGTCACTCTCACCTGGACCCTCACCCACACTGGCCCAAGGCAACACTTTGGAGGAAGATTTGCCCCCCACCCAGCTCAGGTTGAAAGCCACCACTCTAGAACCACAGTACACTCTGCCTAGAGCCATGTTGTTCTAGAGCACACTGTCTGGAAGTAGTCCCGTTTGGCTCCTGCAAATACAAGGAGACTTTCAATAGATACTCACCTCCAACATCTCAACAAAATTAGAGCCTCTCAAGTTATAACCTCATGGTGATGCGTGGGTACGATGAGTCCCTAGAAATGACCTTTCTATTCTGGAACCTCTTTCTTCTTAAAAACGCCCTTCAAACTTTTTCGAAAAGGTAACACAGGACAAAGATATAGTAAAAGATATAGTAAAAGAGGTCAAGCTCTTATGATAAAATGAATTACAGTGTATTTGCAATATAACTCTACACACTTAAGCAAACAAAAATGGCCCATCGGTGCAGGCAACAGCATGGATGACTCTCACAAACATGCTGAGCAAAAGGTGCCCGCCAGATACAGAGCACATATCGTGTGAGCCATGTATGTGCATGTGATGTTCATGCAGAGGCAAAACTAATCTCTGGTAACAGAAGTGGGCATAGTGGTTGGCCTATGGCAGGGGCAACTCTCTGGGAGGACAGAAATATTCTGTCAATTGATCTGGATGTAGATACAAGGGTGTAGATACATGCACTGAACTGCAAAGCGAAGATTTGTGTGTTCTGCTCCATGTAAGTGATAATGATGATAATGATAGAGTTAGTCTCCTTTCCATTACCCAGGGCTCCCAGCCACCTAAGTTTCCCTCCTCAGAGGCCACTCCTCCAGCTGGGGTTTCTTAATGTCCCTTTTCTTTCGGTGCCTTTGCACCAGGGGCAGAATCCTGGGTGCATGCCAGGCGCACACCAGAGGCCAAGGCTGAGCGTGGCATGCCTGCACCGGGCAGTGGCTCTTGCCTGTGCCTTGGCTTTCTCAGGCCCCTAGGGCCCCACGCCCCTCCTCCTCCTCTTCCTCCTTACTTCCCTCCCCTGCGTGGCATTGAGGCCTGGGAGGTCGCTGACCCTTGCTAAACAGTGTTGCTCCTCCTGGCCTTCCTGGGTGTGCCTGGCTCGAGAGGACACTGCGTGCTGATCAAGCTTATCGTTGACACATTCCTTCTCTTTTATTCTCTCCCTGGACTGGTCCCAGGTCTTCCTGCTCCCTGGGTGCTCAGTTTCAGGGCGCTTCCCTCGCAAGGGGCAATCCTGCTGACAACTTGCTTTGTGTCTGCCCTCGATCAGGGCCTAGGGTCTGCTTATCCGCCCTCCACGCCCCATCCCCACCCCCGACTCCCAGCAGCATTCATTCTACGACCCTGTCCCCTGCCTTTTATCTTATCATCTGGGGTCCTCCTCCTACCTTGCCTCCCCAGTGCCTGGAGGCAGAGAGGGTACCGGGTCACTCACGCTCAAGCGTTCTTGGAGCTGGGCAGAAAGTGAAGGGCACTACCTGTTCCTCGCCTTCTGGCGCAGGGGAAATGGTGCATAACTCGGCCCGGCTATCACAGCTCCCCATACCCAGCACCGTGCGTCGGTGCTCCGCAAGCGCCGGGCCCAGGTCTGCGCGCTCCCCGTGCATTTCGCCTCTGAATGCCCAGACGCCCCTAGGGGGGCGGGGGCCGGCCGCATGTTGCAGAGGGCGCGAGCGGGGCGCAGGGCTAGCACGCTGGCACGTGGTCGCCAGGGCCCGACCCGCAACTTCCCTGGGGACACGCTCCGGGGGCGGGGGCCGGCGGGGAGGGGCCCGCAAGCCGGGCTTAGGGTCCGGCCTCGGGGACACCGAGTCTCGCCACACCCTTCCTGCAGTCCCCTCCCGCGTCCGGGGCCTGCCGGGGAGGGGCTGGGGCCGGCGTCCCGGCTGCAGGCTGGGACTTGGAGAGCGGCCCGGGGAGCGGAGGGGCGCGGGGGGCGCGGCCCGCGGAGGCCCCGCGGCTCCTCCGGGCTCGGCACGCCTCGAGGCGCG